TTATTCCGACTTTTAGGGTTAAAAGCGTACTGCTAAGCCCCGCTGAAGGGGCAGAGAGAAAAGCTTTAGAAGTTAAACAACCCTTGTTGCTTTCCCAAGATTTGGTATGCTACAATCTTGCCCAGTTTACAATGCTGGATATTACAGTGCTTCTGGATAGAGGAATAGAGGGCTGCGGGCCAAGGTACCCATTAAGAGTACCTTCCTTGGCCAGCAAGTCAGCCACTTCGCTCCCTTCAAATCCATGGTGAGAAGGGATCCAATGAAGTGTTACCTTCTTAATCTCCCCAATATGATTAAGCATCTCAATAGCCTCAGCAGTCAGTGATGAAACTGGCCATGGGCTAGTGAGCGCTTTGATGGCACCCTACTATCAATGAAGAAGTCAACGGTGCTATAGTTATGAGTATCGATGGTCAACGTTTCAGAAGCCCTGATAATCCTCCTCATAACAGAATACTGTAAATCATACTATGGAGCATAAATGTGATCATACGGTACTGATAATAAATACGTGAAAATCAATAGAAGGATTCTCGCTGCGAGTCGGACTTTTACGTTGTATCAAACTGTACAATTCCGGGATTTGAGTAAGCTTCATCCTAAAAATGTTGTGGTGTCAAAAATCTATTGAATTTTGCACATAATCACTTTAACTTGAGCAGAGCTTTGACATTTCTCTCGCTCACTGTACATACGCATGCATCCATCACCTGTGCATTAATGCATGCAAATGGTCGTATGACTTACACACACACTTACGGGGAAATTCTAACTTTCCTGTAACCACAAAATAGATTTGAATATTGTATATTATGTGAATTTTCAAAGTTTTGACAAAATGATAACGGCATGCAAACACTACGTGTGCATTTGAATTTAAAAGTTTCATTTTATACGATTCAGATTTTTTGTAAATTTCTTTATCATATCTATGCCTCTTAAAATAAGAGAAAATATAAGGCTGGTTGAAATCAGCTCAACTCGGTGGTTAGTCAGAACCGAGAGGCCACCTGCCTGCTTTCCTCTGATTCACCACCAACCTCACTGCCTCGTATTACTTGTGGCACAGTGTAAAAGTATTATTGGCAGCTAAACCCGTATAAAAATGATCTGTCGACTTATGCACAACTTGCCACAAGGTGCATGCACGGTGGTCTTGTCATAAACTGGCGTGGCATTTTCTGCACAAACGTCTGACCACATTTCAATATTTTATTTGCCACACAATTGCATGGCATTTGCGGCATAAATCTCTGACAAAATTTTGATATTGAATTTGCCATAAATTACTAAGGCAGATTCGAAATAAATATTGTTGCAAATGATTTGGACATAAAATGTTCTGACATATTATGCATTTTTGCAGGTTTCATCAATAATGGTCAATATAATACATGTTATTATACGAGATGATTATTATTATTTATTCAAGTTCCACTGTGTTAATTAATTCTGTAACTGTTAACAGCTTACCGTTTACATTGTACTGACATAAAAATTTTCTAACGTTAATTTCGTCACTGCTAATTAACCTGACTTTCTTGTCAGTAATATTTTGACAGTATTCATAGCATATTTACATTCCGCTGTGACCAATTTTTTGCACAAGAACAATCCAAACGGGTAATTCTTTACATAAATAATACTTTCGACTAAAAATAATTGATCATTACTAGTAACAATGCAATTGGCTCTACTCTTCGTACAATTCTTGCGTGTGCCGTAAAGCTTCCCTAAAACGATGCAGGACTTAAATGCTAAACCCTGACATTCTACTAACGCTTTTTTACTCAGTTCCTTCTTTTCTTTGTCACTAAAGAAATAAACTTTACTTGCACCTAACATAATTGAATTTCCAGCCTTGACAGCTTTAGTCATATATCTCTTGTAATCTATAAGCGAAACAAAAAAATCTTTAGCTTCATTACACATAAAGTCTGAATCTCTAAAAGAGTAAAGTTTATGCGCCGACAACACTTGTTTACCAATTTGCGCAGCAACCTGATTCATACCACAAAAACTATTGCACAAGACGCCATTATAATTCTCAAATTGGAAAAGCGAATATCCCCAAAGCGGACCCCAATTCTGAACACATTCCCAAGCGTGACTAAAAATATGTAAATTAAAGGAACAATAACTCTCATTATAAAGTTGTGGCACTAGCTGACAAAATTTTTTGGATAGTGAGGATGCCACAGATAGGTTTTCTTGAGTTACATGATCATTGTTTAGGATTAAAATGGTATCAACGAATTTCGAAAAATGTTTTAGAAAACAATTTGGAAGGATTCCATGTAAAATTGGTACAGCAAGTAAAATCCAGGTCTTCCATTCATTAGCTTTCCAATATTTCGCATCGTTTATGCTTATGGCAAATCCGTTGGCATTCCGCTGGGACTTTGCAACATGCAATCGTTGAATTTATTTCCTCGGCTCTATTTCCAATATAATATGGTTGTGATTCTTAGATTCAGTCCAAGCAAAAAACATGCTTCGTGCAATTCCAAGTAGCGCTGTGTGCATGTAATCGAATACAAATCCGTGAACAACGTCAAATTTTGGTAGTGTTAACAATCTCGAAGCAGATTTGATACCTACATATGAAGGGACCGATTTCCCTTCAAGAAGTTTTTGCTTCAGATCAAGTAAACTTTTAATGAATTGTTCATGACTCCTAGGTTGAGCAACTTCGGTTGGAGCGAATATCCATTTGTGAGCTCGTTCTGAGCTTTTATAGTTTTTTCCTTTAATTAGGCACCTGGGACAACTATATTCTCCATTGAATTGATTAATTCCCTGTACCTGGCATCTAGCAACAGAATCAGCAGCAAAGATGGGAAAAAATATTCGGCTTGTAATCTCTTGCCCGTTTAGTATCCAGCGTAAGCCTTGACCTCCCAACTCCAAAGCTTGGCTCACAAATTCGCCGAAAAATGAATCAAAGTTTGGTTTTTGTCGTCCAAACCAAAGACCTGCTAACACGGTATTGTTTCTCCTCAAACGATAATCTAATTCGTTAATAGATACAGCAGCGGCCAAATGCTAAATTTGGAGGAATTGAACACAGCTACTCCGTCTGTATTTACACTGCATGTGAAATCCATTTTTGAGAGGTTAAGGCGTTTATACATCACGCCGTCCATTATTGATGAGTATGAGTTGGCAGGAATATTCGATCGCTTGCTGAGGTTGCGTAGCAATGATTCTTGTACATTTGATTGTTGCAATACGTTGTTCAGCATTTGTTGAATATTGAATGACATAAAAAAATGTCCCTCCTGGATTGCTGTTGCCCGAGTCTGCTTTTCTTCGCAATTTGAACATTCACTTTCGTTTTCCTGAATAAGATGCTCGCATTTTCTGCAATACGGAATTTTGGATGTGTCCGTGTAATTAATCCCAAGAGATTTCTCCAACAAGTAAACAGATGTAGGAACTGATACGCCAACGGGTAGGTGAAAATTAACAAGATTTAAGATATCTCCGAGTAAAGTTTTGCTAAGCTTGTGTCGTACTCTTAATCCCATAATCATGAGAGAACTTTCCAGTCGGGTTATCCTGGCATATTCATACAACGGCTGATGAGGCAGCTTCTAAAATTTGCATGTATAATATAACAGTCAATAATTTTTCATCTTATTGAAACTAATTAGTTATTAAGGCAAATACATATAAATGTACCTGACTGGATTCAAAAATATCTTCTTCGTTAGAATCATCATCGTCGGTGTCACTGATGGGAGAATTCTGATGAATTTCATTATCATGCTCTAAGAGAGGATTTGTCCCTACTTGTTGGGCTTCAACGGGTTGAGGCTGCACATGAGCAACTAACTAAAGATAATATAAAATTGTAAAAATAGTGATCAAATGATTCTGAGAGTAAAAAATAATATATTTACAAATACTGATCCAACTTACTGTAGCACTTAATCGGTGCCTGGTTCGCTGGGGGATGCGAGCAGATTTACCGTGGGGAGAGAAGTAAGTCTTGTAATTGTTTTTTCTCGTCATTATTAACAATTATTGCTGATATAAGTTGATCAGAATAATTTACGCAGTTGAGCATATAATTCTAAATGCTGCGTCGAACGTGCCCGCGAATGAGATTTTGTATTCCATCCTCAGTGTCACCCGTTCCAACTAGTGCATGCCTTCCTTTTTATAAGCATATTAATTAAAAATAAGTTTTTACAAATATTGATTAATTGAAAATGAGTTATTTGTTGATTGACTGGGTGGACGAGCTACCGAAAACGTATTCGGTTGTTTTGTGCAATCGTTTGGAGGATGAATCTCTTCGGTCAGATCCATCGAAACTGGTTGGAAAAACGGTCCAGATTCTATGGAATCGAGGAAAATCCTATCCTGGACTAGTATTAAAAATTGGTAACGAACTAGTAATAGCAAAATTTTATTTGTAATCAGTTCAATAATATTACAATAATGTTGATATTAATGTAGGAACTGACGAAGAAGTTTTGGTGCGCGAAGCCGATGAATTGGCAATAAAAGCAGCCAGTGAAAATCAAGTGGTTTCAACTTCTCGTCGAGGTAAGCTAATTTATAATTCGTTATAGTTAAATATTCCCACTTTCAGACCGCGTATTTTCTTCTTCTAGGAAAAAAACGTGGCGCTGACCGTGCTGACAAAATTGAGGAAATAGTTTCTGCTTCTCTACGACTTGAAGAGGAAGCAAATCGTCCTACTGACACTACAATCAATTCCATTGACGAGGTCGGCACCGCACCAGAGGGCGATTCGATTAATTATGAGGGTACGTAGAATAATTTGTTAGTTAGAGCCAAGCTTACACAGTTCTTTAAAGTTATGCCTGATTTTGCTAGAAAAGTACAGGGAACTAAAAGTCAAGCATCGGCGACTCAAAGAAAAATACAAACAATTGTAATTACGCTTGCCTAGCGGTAATTTAGACGTGAGTTAATCCCTTGTTTATAGATATTAGAGTTTACTGTAAATATTTTCTAAATCCATGATAACGTTACAGGTCGAACTCTATCCCGACTCTGGAGTGTTCTTACCCAGTTCCGATCTGGCAGCTATCAAAATTGCTTCAAACAAGCCTACCGTTTTGGCTAGAAATTTGTTTCGGCGATTGTTCAGCATAGAAGAGATGTCGAGCCATTCATTGTTCGGAAAAAAGTGCAACGCGAATCAGGGCCAGGTCCCACTTCCAGAAATTGATGTTGGAAGACGAAATGCAGTAATCAGTAAGTCCTTAATTTTATTTTAGCTATGTTCTTAATTGCATTAATTTAAGGAATTTGATTCTTTGCAGACTATGTCTTAAAGGAGGAGGGATTTGATGCACCCCCAACTACAGGAAACATTGAAGCAGACGGAATCTTCTTGAAAGCGAAAAAAACTACACACAAGGAGATATCAAAATCGTTGACAGAGCTTCTTCGTCAAGAACATAAGCAGCGAGTAATTAGTAATTACAGATTAGTCACGTAGAGTTTAAAAATCTGTTCTATTTCGGAATTTTACGAATGTGAAATAAAAGAACGTTTATGTGACAAGAATTTTATGAACATTTCTTTATGCACAAAAACCAGCCAATTTGCTTCATAAAATGCTATGCATAAAGTATTGGGCAGAAAGGGTTGCCATAAACCATTATGCATGATGCATTATGTCGTAAAGATTGGGCAGAATAATTTTGCCATAAAAAGCAGCCAATTCGCGACAGGGCAACCTAACATAACTTGCCAGAGATTTTATGCATAAAATGTCGGAAAATTTTTATACGGGAAGGTTTTCTCCTCATTTTGCTAAAATTCTAGCAAGGTCTAAGGTTATGATGTTTTGACATATGACCAATTACATAGTTATGTTGAGTTATTGGTTATTGGTTTGTGACCACCTCGACCATCTTATTTGCACCGTGAGAAAGCTTTTTAGTAAAATTCAGGGTCACCGTAACGTCGCCGAATAATTGCCAATAAACTAAAAACGAGCTTACAACAGTTACAAATAATGAGATAAATAATGGTTTTGGTTTGGCAGGCTAATCGTAAGCTCAAAAGTTCTGGGAGTCATCTCAACGTGATTTTTTTTGGCATGAAAGGAAGTCAAATTGTTATAAGCTTTCACATGAGTTACTTCAATGGGGAAAAAGTCCATTGTAAATTTACAGCGGTTGGATTTGTATTTTGGTAACAAACTTGATCTGAAATAACTCCGGAACGGTATTGAATTATAGCTTCAACTTTTGCACATAGTCGATGTGTACCTTGAATCGACGTACCCAAAAATTCAACTTGCCATCTTCAAAAGTGCCCTCTTCCGTCCCCAGGAGTGCGAACACGTGGTTCCAAAACTTTCCAAACTACTGTTATTTCAATAATTTAATTTTTTTTTGTTTTCCTCAGTTACAGAAATTTTTAAGTTTTGCCTTTATAACATGCAATAACAATAGTTGTACGTTAAATAACACAAAAAAACACCGTAAGTTATTTTCTAAAAAAAATTGTCAATTAATTTTCTAACTTTTTTAAAGATTATTTTAGGTTACTGCGCTGGATGATGAACTTTGGTCCTTCTCGATAAATGTTTATCCAAATCTCTGGATAAAAGTGGTATAAAATCTATACCAACTGGTATTGTTGTTTTACCTCACTAGTATTACAAGTTAATACCCTCCATGTACAAACATGCGGTATTGATTTTCCACAACATTTTAATACCACATTGTGACTTTTCATTGATACCACTGCGCTGGTATTGAAATTTTTGGAAAATCAATACCCAGTTTCTGAGAGTGTACATAAATGTAACCATCTATAGATAGTCATCGTCTGGTAATAGTTGCAACTATTACCAGACGATGACCATTGCGCAGCGCTGCGCAATGGTATTTTCATGCAAGGGGTAACACATTTTCATGAAAAATCTGATGAAAATTTTAAATTTCAGTTCTACTCAAGAATTTATTAGGACAAAGAAGTAGTAACAAATTATATGCTTATAATTTCCGACATCAATGCTGAATATCTATGTAAATACCTACGCACGCATTGCAAATGTTCACTTAAAATAATCCGGTAGGCTCAGTCCACGTCAATGTCGATATTGGATTGCGGGTCACGTCTCCGATATTACGGTTATTTTGATCATGAATGCATAATGCTTGAATCAAGCAATTAGCGAAAAAATAAAAATTCTATATTCTAAATTGGCCGAGAATTTAAATTTGTCAAAAATTGTAGAAACGTTTTCAATTTGAAATACTAGATGTTTCGTAATTTTGGGGAAGGTTTGCCCGACTTAAAAGTTGTTTTAGGCTGCACAAAGTATATTTAAAAATTTCAAAAATTCGAAAATTTTTATCATCTTTTAACGACGACTTTAAAACGTTATAACTTTTTGCACCATGTCGTGTGCAACCAAACTTTCGCCAATTCTAACGGCATTTTTAATTTCTTAACCAACAAAAAAAGAATTAACTGGAACACGACATGGTGCAAAAAGTTATATCGATTTTTCTGAGACACATTAATACATGTAAGCTTATGGATGGGAATATTCCCAAAATGATGAGAAAACAAGGGGCGTAAAGAAAACCTTCAGTGACGAAATTTAAGTGTATCATGACACATGACTTATTTTTTATGGCGAGTTCAAAAAACTTAACTAAAAAAATATAACCCCAACCGTGTCCACGTTCGAAAATCGACTCCGTGCTACGGCCACTGTAGGGAGCACCACCATCAGTAGTGTCGCGCGGAGTGAAGTGACAACATCCCCGCACTCATGACTCTCCTCGCACCGTAGTTATTGAGATGGACTGAGCCATGTATAAATCCCCCAGATTTGGGAATTGTTGACACGATTATTATTTTTTAATTACGTGTGGTTTTAGATCCGCTGACCTTAACTCTTCTGCATTCTGTGAGCACATTTCATAATTTTATAAGTTCCTTGATTTCCACCTTTTGAAATATGTATGTATTGCATAATTTGTTGAGTTGTAATTTGATGCCAAATAAATAACGTGAAAATCAATACCAAGCTGTACTAAACCGTGGTATTTCTTTACCACGTGGTATTATTTGCATCATAAGTGGTACTGACTGGTATTAAGGTTCAATACCACTAACAAAGAAATCAATACCGCTACGAAAAAAATCAATACCGCTACGGAAAAAAATCAATACCGCAAATTACATTTTTATACCCTCGCGGTATTAATGCGAAACAATACCAGTTGGTATTAAATCATTACTAAAACGGTAGAGTCACGTATGAATACCGCCTGGTATTGATATGGTATTGATTTTTCTAAGAGTGTATGTATGAGCAGATTGTGTAGAGTTTGCGGAATCCACATAATTTATGTCTGCTTCTTACTCTGTGCAACAAATTTACAGCGCATTAAAAGACTGATAAATTTACGTCAACGAAGTAAACATCGATTTTATTCAGAGTAATCTATTTACGAAAACATTTATTGTAATTATGATTTCCAGGCATTTAGGATGAATGTACATAAGTATGTGCAATAAATATATAAGTCAACATACTCAGAGAAGACATCTACTTGTAAGTTAATGCGGATGTAATTATAATTAATTTGAAGCCATGCACAATGGTAGACAGATGATGATGTACATCGATGATGGACGGATCGTAAAAATGATAATAATTCCTATAAATATTAATTGAAGTATAGTGTTTGTATTATCATTATTTTGCTCGCTCTCTACGAATGCAGATTTACCATATGTATGTGCAACATATTTTGACGTTTATGTTTGTTATTTTTCGGGTAAAATCGTAAATATGCAGCATCCTTGATTCCGTGAATTCTTTACACCAAAACAAATTTATATCTCTAATATAGTGTAAAAATTGTTTAAAAACCCGTCATGTTTCAAGACTGATATTATTCGCAAGTGAAGTGTGGACTGCAACTGAATAAAAGAAAAGTTACAATCTGATTGGTATAAAAGTTTTAAATTTTTTGAAATTTAAGAAAATTGTGGGAAATAAACTCAAGGGAAATTACTATGGATATTGGTCAACGTTTACTTGTCATCACATTGATGGCCATACTCGTTTTCTCCATTATGGAAACGGTACCTTTAATCAGTCAAAATTTGTGCAACAATTTTTGAATTTTTTGATTAAACGAAGTAATTTTGAAGTAATTGTGTGTATTGTGATCAAAATCACAGGTTTCCGGACAGTGCTATGATGGGGCTTGTCTTGAAGGAGGGAATGCGAGGTGCGCCCAGGTTTGCAGAACGTATTGTGGATACAGAAGTGGTCGATGTGGCAACTGGCACGGGCTCACTTGCATTTGTTCCAGATAAACCTATTGAAGTTTGTTTCAGGAGTTAGATTTCATAATGTTGAAAATTTTTGCTGTAGTGGATGGTAGTGTGGTAGAGAAAAAATAGTGTTTCCATTTTTGTTTGTTTCCGGTTTATAATTTCTGTACAAATTCCATTTTCCTTTCGTAAATTCCATTGGGTGAATAAATAGTAAACATATTACTCCGTATTTAGTGCATACGAGTGAGTTTCTCAGCAAATTATTTTGGTCTCCGTTTCCAAATGCATCTGTCCGGGTTCACATACACGCCAAGACTTCCCCACCAGAGGACCTAGTCCTCCGATCATCCTGATAGGGGATGCTCATACAAATCCCTTTGTCAGCGAGCTACCTGCTCATGTCGACCCCGTGGACGCCACCGCGTCCACGTCACGTGTCGTGTCGTTCTGGCTGCAATGGGTTAAAGAGATAATTTATTTATTGCAAACAGCGACTGGTTTAATATTTTATAACAATAAAATTAGGGATGTAACGAGTACTCGGTTGTACTCGGTACTCGGCCACATTTAAATTACTCATACTCGACTCGGTATTTTCTCCCTACTCGGCCGAGTTTTTCAGTTTGCCCCCGTTGTACAAAATTAATTAATTTTTTAATTTATCGGCCGTATTCAAGCTGAAAAAATTAAATTTTTAAATTTAGATAGTTATAGTTACTGAATTTAAAAATTTTTACCTGTCGAATGCTATGTTTTCCATAATTTGGCATATAAATAGACAGATAAGTAGTGTTTAGTGTTGAGTACTCTGTCATAAAATGAATTTGAGTAGTCAGTGGCCGAATTTGGCCGAGTATAGCCGAGTACTCGGTGACCGAGTAGTTTCGAGTACTCGGTGACCGAGTAGTTTCGAGTACTCGGTGCCCGAGTAGTTTCGAGTACTCGGTGACCGAGTAGTTTCGAGTACTCGGTGACCGAGTAGTTTCGAGTACTCGGTGACCGAGTAGTTTCGAGTACTCGGTAAATTTCTAGCCGATTACCCGTACTCGACTCGGCTTAAAACATCCCTAAATAAAATTTACTTTGTTTGTGCTCCTGTAAATTTTCAAACCTGGGGAGGAATTCAATTGATATGTGCCTAAGCATTGATTTTGTTTTCGCATTGCTCAGCGCAAATCTTTCTGAGCAAAAATTTCAATTCAATCATTTTTATGACATAACCATGCGTAAGTTAAGCATTTGCTTATTGTTGTTTACATTTGCTCAGCTTCGCGTAACTTTATTCTTTCCCTCCTTTTAGCCTATTAGAATAACGGAAAGTTAGTCTGAAGAATGGTGTGAGACAGAAATGAGGGGGATTTTGTATGCCGTAATTACTACAGTTTCTGATGTAACTTTCTGTCATTAAAAATTCAAAAGTCACATCTGCGAAATAGGGACACTCGCGAGGTGTCGTCTGGACCTAGTTATCCCACCATGTTTTTTAGAATCTACTCAGTAGTGTTCTCAATGGGCCGGATTGGTCCGGATCAGGGCTGATCCGAAACCGGACCATGGCCCGAAACCACCAATCCGAAACCGGACCTAAAAATTTTCCCTCGGCCCAGAACCGGACCGGGACCGAATCGGGACCGGACCGGTCGATCCGGGCGGACCGAAAGTTTTCATCATTATATAATACAGCGGCTTTATTAAGACCCATTATGTATGTAGTACATACATACGTATGGAATACATACTAATACAAAAGGCGATTGGACATCATATGAGCAGATTGCCCCGCGCAGTATTCGAAAACCGCGGTTCTGAGCATGTTGAATTTTTGAGCACACGTTACTAAACGTCTCAGCTTGACAAATTAAAAATTTCAATACATTATGTCCAACCATACGTCCTAAAATAAATCCAGAAGTGAAGATGTCAGTTTTAATAGTTTCCAAGAGTTTTTCCTCGCAACGAGACATTAAAAACGGTCACAATGATATAAAGTTGTCTAAGGGTGCAATTTATAATATCATACATGGGCTAGGAAATAGAAGAGAAGCGAAGAACTCTGGACTTCCCAGACCTCCAAGTAATTATCCTCCAATAAAAGCCTCAAGAACGGTAGTCATGAAGATTGAGCGTTTGACCTCCAAGGAGAATCCAGCGGCAAACGAACCATCGCAAAAACCGTGGCTTTGTCACAAGGACATGTCAGGCACATCATAAAAACAAAGTTTCACCGAAAAGTCCACCGGAAGCGGTCTGTTCTTGTCCTCAAAGACTCCCACTGAGTAAATCAGACCACCAACTCAAGGCGCCTGTATGAGGACCACTTGGCAGGTGGAAAACCCAATTTTGTTGTCACATTAGATGAGGCATGGTTTTATCTAAAAATGTAAAGGGGTTAGGAAGATATGCTACACAGAACATCGGGAAGATGTTGATGAGTATGTATGCTCGAAGAGAGAAAACTTTTGTGAAAAAATTATGGTGGTGGGCGCCATAACAGGTTGTGGGGTCCTCGACTTAATCAAAGTCCCCCCAAACACAAAGATAAATTCTGCCAGATATACGAGCGATGTCTTAAAACCACTTTGGGAAAAGAATTGCCAAAACTCTATCCCACAGATTACGATAAAGTTATTGTTCATCACGACAAAGCGTTATCGCATACCGCCACCTTTACACGACGATACGCAAAAGACCTTGAGGCCAGAAGAGGCACAAAAATCATCAAAAATACCTTAAGCCTAGTCAAGTCTCCCGATATATCTCCAATGGACTTTTTCGGATTTGGTCACGTCAAACAAAAAATGGTTAGCAAGCGTCCGACCAAAATGGATGGGCTCTGGAAACTTGTGAACGGTGAGTGGAGGGAAATCATCCCTGAAATATGTCAAGGGGAATTTTCGGCGTGGAAAAAACGTTGTTGGACTGTTGCTCAGGTGCATAGAGAACACATTGAACAAATTATGGATATCGACAATCATCGTATTTTAGATAATATTTACGATTCTTTAGGTGCTCATATAATCTCCAATCGCCTTTAGTACATATGAATAATAATACTTCATAAAATACTTAATAGAAATTTATATATAAATACGTAGTATCAGTAGCATTCACAACAAACAATTATTGCTTTTTCGCAATAGAACATCTAAAAATCTCGAGAATGAAAAAGTAAACCAAAACACTCTTAGAAATCCAGTATTAAAATAATAACGCAGAGGTATTCACAAATGAATCTATCAAATTGGTGTTGATAAATATCTAATACCTTGTACTATTTAACAGATTACCTATATGGTAAGTTGTTTTACTATATAGGTAGCAAATTTTAGGGATGCCCCGGGTACCGGGTAACTACCCGGTACCCGGCATACTCGGCCTATTTTGGGATACCCGGTACCCGGCCGGGTATTCCAAAGTACCCGGTTTACCCGGCCGAGCAAATTTATGTGCTAAATTTTCTTACTTGAAGTTCAAAACCTTGCAAAACAATTTCCGATCTCATGGATTTCATTTTTGTAATTAGTATAAAACAAAATATTTAGATATAATAGGTAAATATTCGTCCAAATATTATATAACAATTATCGCACAAATTTTACAATTACATTGTGTACCACAGATAATGTTTTCATCTATGGAATAAGCCATTGCCAATTGCCATTTTGTTATAAATATTTGTTGCTTACAATCTGCAAAACTTGTCAAATTTTCGAAAATTATAGAAAAAATTCGAAAAATCTCCCTTATTAGCTCACCCTGCGTAGCAAGGGAGCTATTGAATTCCTCTTGTCCGTCTGTCCGTCTGTCTGTCTGTCCGTCTGTCTGTCTGTCTGTCTGTTTACGACCCATTTGCATCAATTGATGCTAATTAATTTGCCCCATGTGCAAATTTTAGCAAATTAGTAGGTAAAAATTTGCCAAATTTTTACCTACCGGTTTAATTTTCATCCCAAACGGTAGCAAGTTTAATACCGCAAACCAATATCTGCAAAATGAATATCAGACTAGATTTCCAACAGTTTATGATTATTTTCTCCCTTACATTTTAATTAAAATAACTCAAGGGTTTTCTCAGATGAGTGTTCTTGAATGAAAGCCTTCTTACCAGGTATACTATTAACATGGGTGGAGAGTCCAGGGTACCCACTATGTTTTTTTAGAATCTACTAGGACCCTAGATGAAGGATCCATTCCTTTTTCCGTGTAAAACTCATATCGGGCGCCGTAGCGTGGCGCCAAACTTCAAAATCAGCGTTTCCGACCAATTTCAAACCTCCATAACTTTTACAATTTCCGCGGGATTTTCAAACATTTTGGCTTAAAATGATCACAAAGGTCAAAATTTTAAGAAATAAATAAAATATTTAAAAAAATGTATTTTTTGAGAAATTTTTAAGATTTTGTCTTTGATGGACCATGCCGAAAAATATCCAAAATTTTCCAAAAAATTAAAACAATGAATTTTTTGAAAAATTTCATCACATTCGAAAGCTCGACTCCTTGTCATGATCTTAGCCAAAAATTTTGAAAATCTGTCCAGGATTTCAAAAGTTATGGCGGTTTTAAAATTAAAAACATTCAAATTTGACGAATGTGGCGCCACGCCATGGCGCCAAATATGAGTTTTACACGGAAATATGAATGGATCCTTCATCTTGGGTCCTGGTAGATTCTAAAAAACATAGTGGGTACCTGGACTCTCCACCCATGTTAATAGTATATGTACCATGTTAGTAATTTTATTTTCGCCATGTTTAACGCGAAGCGGCAAAAACAGGAATTAATTAGTGTATGTAAATGGTGCACGTTTTGGTGTAGGTGGGGACCCTGGACTCGACCAGCACCTTGGAAGGTTCCCTTGTTAGAGAAACCCTTCTCACATATATACAAGCAGTTTTCACTTTTATGGAAAAGTGAATTTGAGCACCGTCCAATTACCGATCAACCATTAACCTATACATTCCATACATTTGTAGGTAAATATTAATTTCATGCCAACTTTCCCTCGGTCTCGTATGCAGGTATCACTTTCACCTACGGTATTTCGATATCTCATTAAATTTATATAAAAAAGTACTGACAAAAGTCTCAACTCTGGGTGCAAACTGATTTTTTCAAAGTTACACAACTTAGAAAATTGTAGCGCTATTGAATTTCTCTACCTCCAGAGAATGTTGACGCACGGACACTCTTAGAAAAATGGGGTCGAATATTATGCACTTTATTATTTGTACTGTAGGTATGGGCATGGTGGTACTATACCCTGAGAAAAATTAGGTGAGGAGTTTTACCCAGAAAGTAAATTCACATGACCATGGTTTTAGATTTGAGGCTACCCACTGGTTGCAAATTGTTATCAGCGATGATAATTTTATAACCAATTGTGATCTGGTTGTAACTCGTCACCGAATTTTTCCGAGGGCACAGATGGTTATGTTGTACTGGTAAAAGCTCACCAGTAAGGAAGAAACTAACCGTTACCAATCCAGAGTAAAGTTATTGCCAATTCAATTCCAGTATAGAGTGGACATAAATACATGGACATAATTTCACCACATTTTTACCAGTGTGCGTAGAAGAGGGTTAAATATCTGTATGTACGGATTCCACACCTGCCCCAAATCTCATCACTCCGATTGTAACGCGAGTATCGGAAGGTCACACTTTTCCTTCTCTTGCTTTCACTTAAATGAAGAGTATGAACAAGTCTTGAGCCAGGTTTACATAAATTCGACCTCAACACGGGTTGAGCGGAAAATTTATTGGAGTCCGGTTGAATATACGGTTATGATATTTTGTTTGCGTTCCAATAAACGTGTCAATCATTTTCTACACGTCGCATTATTCTCATTCCAGACACAAAGTAAGGTATGTACAGGCTGGTTTAAAAATGAAAGTTGTATTGAGAAACGTTTTTTTTGTAAATTTGTCATGTTTTCCTGTAATCAGTTACAGGATAAAATCACAGCTTGTAAAATCCATGATAGTTTTATGCATCCACGTTAGTCCGTCATGGGAAGTGGGTCAAAAGAGAGGGCCGTTTTAGCGTGACATACATAATTTATGGACGACGCCTATTGCAAATATTTTGCAATATATTGTGTTGGAAAAGAAGTTGATTAATAAAAATTTGGTCAAAATATGGATGTCAACACTCTTAAAAATCTTATTAGGCAGCGTCATTTATGTATCTACGCCAAAATTTGTTGCAGTGTGAGATAGGGAGTTGCAACATGTGCATACACACTCCGCCGTAGAAATGATAGATATGTTAATGATTTGGCACTGATTGATGACTGCCTCCTTCGAATTGATTATTCACTCACTACTAACAAGTCTTTCATTACCATATTAATACTCAGTGATCATGTTAAATAGTTATTATCCACCAGCACGACAGAGTTACCCTCGGTAGTGATTTTAAATTAATAACTTTGCTTGTTTTTTTTAGCGAAAAAATAGGTTTCGCTAAAAGAAAAGTTTAAAAGACAAAAGTAAATACTTGGAACTCGGTCAACTCTACGATTTTTTGGCACTACACGCATACGCCTTTTTGTGACGTTCTTGGTTTTCATTCTTTCATGAACCAAAATAACAAAATACGTGTTAAGTGAGTGACAGGGCGTTAATTACACTTCGGAAAATCCGTCTTTTCTCTCAAGCTCTTACAGCGGAAAATCATCCTTCCTGGCAAAATGGCATAATGAGCTTGTTGTGACGTTGAGTGAATGTCAATCCTCTTCGCAGGGTTTCCACCGCCGTGTTTTTTTATTACGGAAATACACATTTGTTTTTAAATATGAAGATAAATATATTATGACAGATTACAAATTTTCATTTACCAAACTCTTATGGGAAAAATTTAATATTTTTTTTTATCCTCGAGATTGAGACAACCTTATGTACAAGTCCATTGTAATAAATATATGTATCACCTGCACGTAGACTTGTGTAAACGTATTTAATGACAAGATTTGTCCTTTTTAATTCGTAACCTTGTCAAATAATTATGGTAAGTTGTGTGGTAATTGAAATGTTAAGGATGATATTCTGGAAGGGTGCAAGATTTTCGCATAATTGTGTCATTGTACACTTCCTTTCAGCGAATACGTGCATAAAATAAATTTAATTTAATAATGTTCGTGATTTCTACTCAAAACAGGATTGTGTTGTGTTCCTTCGAACCCAGCCGACATGAGCAGGTCTAATGTGTAATGTAATAAAACAAAGAAATGTGCGGTATGTAAATGTGAACGTTTCTTTCGTTACTTGACTGCAGAGGGTGGAAGCACCTAATTTTCCTCCTCAGTGTTTTGTGTATATTGTTTTGCAGAAATATCAGTCATTCAGTAAACGATGGAAATATTGGCTAAATTTAACACGGAAAAATATTCGAAATTGTAGCCTCATTTCATCTCGAGGCTTTGCAATCACCGTATAGTTGTGTTGCACGGCTGGGAAATTTAGTTTAGTTAATATTATTATAACTTTCCTGGTTCACAGTTCAGGTAGTGAATTTTAGTGGTTAAAATTTTGATTTATTTTTTTCTTAATTTTCAATTTTAGTAGTTTCGGTTTTAGGAAAAGTAAGACAAGAATATAATATTTTACAAATACGGAATTTTTCAAAAATTCCAAAAATTCTGTCCCAGCCGAGGAATCGCTCCCTTGAATTCCAGTCAAGTCCTTTGACCACTGAGCTACTAGGGCAATTCCCGAATTATTTCGATCATTACTGATATTTGACTCTTATGTGAATTTCTACTTTCTTTTCCGTGCCAGCGAACTGAAAAAAAGGTCAATTTTTGGCCTACGATGGAAACTCCTTTCTTATTCCGGACAAGGAATTTGTTTTGATTTTTTCTAGTCTAAGAATTTAATTTTGTAAATCTAAGCTTACTCCATTTTAGTTTTCCATAAATTTTTTGTCAGAATTTCCAAATATTTTTCCTGGCTGGTACATACATAAATCTATGGAATTTAAACTAAACAAAAATTACCAAACACAAGACACATACTTTATTTTAATTTGATTTTAACCTACTTAATCTGCTTCATGGCTAAATAGGGGGACTTGAGTTATCTCTAGTCAGGACAAGGATCACAAGTTGACATGGATCCAGTAAGTGCAAATATCAACAAAACGGTTGAGTATACGTTCTATTCCATGGAGAGAATATGTACATAATTTACAATGTGGCTATTACATATTTATTTATTTAGGAACGGGCGAAAGATATCCGTGCAAGGATTAAGGAGAGAAAAGAGCAGAGAAGGAAGACGAGGGCGAAAGGGTTTGTGACCAAAAGACGGCGACAAAATCTTAAAGAATGGGTCACATTTCAAAGACAACGCTTTAACTTTGAAGAAACCCGTAAAAAAAAGATGCAAGAAAGAGATAAAGCCATCAAAGAGAGATGTGGACCGAATAAGTCATCAAACTCGATGGGTGAAGGTAAATACAAATGATATGAAATCTGGTAAAATTATATGAACGATTTCATAATCTATATGTTTATTACATTATGTAGTGTTCCGCCTATTTTTTGTAATTATGCCACTATTTTTATCATTATTTGGAGTTCAAGTTTTCTTTAATTTTTTAATTGGCTTATCACTTATTATTTATTTGCAGAGGAAGTTGTCCGCCTATGCAAGTTGTACCAGAATCACGTCGCCAGGCTGGAGGAAGACTTGTATGACATTGATTACGATGTCCGCTTCAAAGACATGAAGGTAACTGAACCTTGCGAATCCTGGTTTGTATTTACATATGTATTTAGCTTTTTCCTTTTCCCTCCAGTTTTTCTCAAAGGTAATTTCACCCGTGAAATTAACTTGATTAGAAGGCCAAATGACCTTTTAGGAAGAATTATATTGCGTAGAAATACATACATAAATATGTACAAACGATACTTTTGTGTTAAACTGTCCTCTGCTGTGTTGCAGATTAACGAGTTGCGCCTCGAGTTGGACGAAATGAGGGGAAGATTGTAAGTTGTATTAATTTGTGGATTAATCAACATAGGCAGCGGAACAGTAAGGGAGATATCATAGCACACAAAAACTGCTGTTTTCAATAATAATTTTTTTGTCGTGTCTCCATCCCCTATCTACATATAATACAGAGGTTGTCCCATCCTGGTAGGTTAGCTTTCAAGAAGTTTTCTACACTCTAAATAAATTTGATTAAAATTTGCTCAACTTTGAGTGAAAATCGCACCAACACAACTATTGGTGTAAAATTAAGTCAAAGTTGAGTAAATTTTAGTCAACGAAGTAGGAATGTCGCTCAACGTTGATTTAAATTTACCCCACTAGTTGTGTTAATGCCATTTTCACTCAACTTTATTGAGAGTGTACTGTATATGCAAATATTTTTTGATTGCCAAAGTGCCCTATTTGAAGCCTTTTGTCCTTAACGACAAGCCTGCATCGCTATTTTCGGGATAAAAATACCTCCCGACAGTTTGTTGTCCTTCCTTTGGATCGCTATTTTTTATTGCGTGCCAAACCCATTAAAAAATGGTCGTTTTTCGATGAGACAATTGCAATTGAAAGAAAATTCCTCCATATAACCCCCAAACGTGGGTTGTCAGAAGACATAGCAGTGTTGTCTTAATTTTTACGAGTGTTAGACCAAGTTTTATTTTCACGGGTGTTTCATGCTGCTGAATTTTCCGTGTGGCGAGTTGATAAAACTTGATGCCAATGGGTAAAAACTACCCCTGACACCTTCACTTACCCGAAATCCCTCCTAATAATTAGTTGCGTTGTTGTTTTGTCAGATTCTAACTGTTTCACATACTACCGTTTTACTGCTTTTAGGCTTCTCTAGGGGTGGAATTCAATATACGTTAGGCAATGCTTAGGCAAGAGAAATTTGCCTAAGCAAATTTTATTTGTATTCAATATTTGTTGCTTAGGCAAAATTCTAAGCAAGTGCTGAGCAAAAAATTTATGAATTTCTGTATTCAATATGCACAAATTCCTAAATTTTTTGCCTAAAGTTATTCCAGCTCGGAGGTGGAATAACGACTTGCGTAACTTTAATTTAGCTCAAAAAAATATTTATTTCTTTAAAAATGGCCATTCCATTATTTGTCCTGAACAATGAGCGCAATCGGGTTTATAAACAACGTCGACTCCTTGAAAGTCTCTCCGAATTTGAAATAAGGAAACATACTGGTTTGCCTTGGTGGGGAGCTCGAGAGCTTATTGAGTGGATTGAACCGGAAGTTGAACCACTGGCACGGAGAAACTACGCGACACCGGCGGAGACGAAAATTCTTACAACATTGGGTTTTTTTCGATCTGGGTCATTCCAATGGATGCTAGGAACTGTTTCCGGAACTTCCCAGCCTTCGTGCAGCCGAATAATTGCGGAGGTACGCTTAAAAAATGGTCTTTAATATGTTGCAGTTTGAACTTTCAAAATTTATTTCGAACACGGTCAGGTGTCATCTACTCTGCAGGGTCATGCAAATGAAATGATCAGATTCCCAGCAAGTGTGGATGAACGAAATATCGTGTCAAACGCATTTTATCAGGTCGCAGGTCTACCGAACGTGATTGGCATTGTTGACGGAAGCCACGTTCTTATAAAGGCTCCAACTGACCACGGCGGAGTTTACATTAACAGAAAACAGCGTCATTCCATTAACGTACAGATAATATGCAATCACCAGGATAAAATAACTGATATCGTAGCGAAATATCCTGGTAGCAGCCATGATAGCTTCATTATGAGGAACAGTGCGATTTGTCATCGGTTTCAGCGAGGAGAATTCGGTAACAACGTTTTGATAGGTAAAATATATAACAAATACATTTAAAACAATTAATTAATTAAAAATTAAAGGTTGAAAATTAATTAAAAATTAAAATTAAAGGCGACAGTGGTTATTTTCGTGCACCATACTTGGCCATTCCGTTTTCGAGGAGAGCGGCATTATCAGTCGAGCAGCAATTATTTAATACCGCATTGACAAAAACTAGAAGCAAAGTTGAACGATGCATCGGATTGTGGAAATGCAGATTCAGATCAATGCATAAGTTTGTAATTCTTTCATTCATACGTGATCGTATTTTGATTTAATTTTCCGTTAACTAATAGATCGGGAGGCGACTTATGCTACGAGCCAGCAAAAGTTTGCAAATTGATCACTGCCAGCGTCGTTTTGCATAATTACTGTGTAAATTTCGGAATTCCCTTGTTGGATGAAGATGAGCATCAGTTAGAACTTATTATTCACGGTCTGGCTGAAGATGAGTTGGATTAGCCTAATTAGTTTAGTGGTAGTTTTAAGTAAGTTTTATACTAGTGTACACATGTGAAAATTTACGTATTTGTTATTCGTGTATTTAATCTTGGACCAAATTTTAAGTACATACAAAGTAAAACCTGAAAAACAATTTCTCATATTAACGCAAACAAAACTATTGATAAGTCTTCTGCATTTCGAGTTATTTATGTGATGACTCAAATGAGAATGTGAGCGGTGGTGGTTTTGAATTGCAAGTCGGCCAAATCCCTGAAATAACGTCGAACAACAACAGGGTCGTCCAAGAGGAAGTAGTTATCGCCGTGTTGGATAAGATTTTACAGAATATGTCTCTCGATAAGTTCAATTAATAGTTAAACTAATTAAATTAACAGCTCTTTACTATCCTGACCGGGTGCTGACTTTCCCAATTTACTATTTTATGAATCTATGTGTCGCGGTATTACCGCACTGCAATCCTGCCACCGACTTAAAGGACCCGATCACATCCATCGAATCTCATTGTTCTGGTAGGAATGCAATCACCGGCTCATGGATGGTAGCAGTGAATATTTGCAGAATTTAACCATGTTCAGGATGATGGTTTTGAAATAGAATTCTGTAAAGGAAAGTGTAATTTTGCAATGAATTGTAATTACATACAACGTAAAACTTGAAATACAATTGCTCATATTAACAAAAATAACTGAACACGAAATTAATTGAATAGAAATTTGATGATTAATTCAAATGCAGCTTTTCACATCTGAAGAACGAACACATTGACCATCTGTTAATTGGACCACATAGTTCGGGAATTGGGACGATTCAAATTTCTTGCGCTTGAGTTTCAATTTTTCTTCCTCAATATTGTTTCGTTGCTGCATGAGATCACCAATACGCTTCAGTTCCTTAACTTGAGTTTCCAGTAAGGTAACTTGACGTGTTTGCAGCTGGTACAACGTGGTCTCGGGAAGCTTGCGTTTTGTGGGGCGAGGAGACTCATTTATTGACGGGTCTTCTTCATTTCGAGAAGATGGAGTGCATCGTGGGACGTGATTTCGGGCTGTAGTTGTCTTCATCGTAGGTTTGTCTGTAAAACGAGTCACAAACTTTAGTATACAACTAATCATGTCAGTCAGTTTTAAGCCTCACCACTGGAATCGAATCCTCCAAAAATTCCTTCGACTGATACCGTAGGGAGAGTCGACAAAATTTTTTCCTGTAGGTCGTCGAGTTGGGACAACGCACTTTCACCGCCACCGGTCTCATTCAGCTCTCGTTTATTTGCGGCCTAATCTTTAGCCTTGACCTCGCTCTTAAGCTGTTGGTACTTCTTCTTAATTTCAGACAGCTTTCTTCCGCCAGGAACCACACCCAATGCGTTGACCTTGAGAAGGACTCGCCCCCATGCTTCTGATTGAATTTCAGGAGTCATTTTCGTGGTGAATTGGCCAAAAAGTAACGAAAGATTTGCAACAATTTCATCAACTAGCGCCTCCTTTTCCAGAGAAGTGAAATTTGGACTCCTTTTGGCACCTTCGGTCTCTAAAAAATTATCAATCACATTAATTAAGACAATTAATGTGACTTTAAATTTATAATTTAGCTAAGTTTATGGAAAAGTGGTCACTTACTTGTGATATTACCCGTTAAAGTGGTCAACGCCATTTCGAAATGCAATGGAATGATCGAAAATGACCATAAAAACTTAATAATTAGCCAGTCAAAATTATTGTAGGGAATGTGGTGTTGATGGTTTAACCGAGATGAAATAAGATGCAAGCAGCCGACCGCTTTTTCATGATTTTTTTCAGTTCACACGAGGTCACAGATTTTCGTTGCTTAGCCGTTGCTTAGAATTTGCGTAAGTTTAAGCATTCTTAAACTTACGCATGCCTAAGTCGACTGTATATTGAATACCAAATTTTGCTCAGCAAAAACCTTGCTGAGCATGTGCTTATCTACGCAAATGCTTATGATAGCGTATATTGAATTCCACCCTAGATGAATAACGTGGGCTAGGTTGAATTGTGCACATTTTCGCCGGTTTCGAAATTGTTTGGTTTTTGGTGGAGCGACCACTCCCACACGCTGGGTTTATGTTCAAACACCTTTCCCAAATTGTATTTCATAAGTAAACCGAACTGTTTTAGGTTCGTATATATGATGCTTTCGTACCAAAATCGACTGGTAAAGGCTTTTACGAGACTTGCAATTCAACTGAGCAGGGTGGGTGGATTTTTTACTTTTTTTACCTAGGAAAATTTACTAACCTAGCTAATTGGTTGCTCTCAAAGATTGTCACGATTTAGAACTACGCTTGCTCAAAACCTAACCCAACCAAGATGGGATAACTGTAATTCCTAGAGTCACGAAAGCCCCCACAGGTTCCGCGGTCTGCAAATTTATGACATATGTTGAGCTTTAAGCTGGATTTCCACCGGTGGAAATCCAGCTTGATTTGGATCGACTTTTTAAAACCAAATTTTACCAACTTCTAGTGTCAAACCGGAGCTGAAGAAGGTGCGACGCTTCTTACGATGAGGGAAAGTTCTCAAGACGATACCCATTTTTTTTAATGTTCATCAGCGAATTGTGTTAATTCTTAACTTGAAATTTACAAACTACTTAGCTTCTTCACGTAAGGGAAGAATATGTGCTTCTCCAATGTATGGTTGAGGTAAGAAAAGTAGACAATCGAGGCAGGGTTTTAAGTTTTGCTCGATATTACTTGTACAGCCTTTGTTAAGTTCTGGCGAGCAACCGTTCAATCCTTTTAAGTCTCGAGACTCTCTTAGGGGGTGGATCGGCACCCCACCAAACACACCTTTTCTTATTCCTCTTGTTAATACCTTTCTAACGGTATAAACAAAATTCTGAAATTTTCACATACAGTCAAGTTACTTAATATTTGGGCAAATGTCTACCTTTTTTACCTCAACCATACATAAGCCAAGGCCAACATGTTAAACAGACCATACGAAGATAAAAATAAAGGCAGAGATGAATATTTTGGTTAGAGTGTGTGATACCAGCAAAAAGAACAATACATTTATAATTGCATAATTAAAATACTTTAGGCTAGATTACCTAGGCATATATATATCCACCGGAGTGAATATGCATAGTTGGGAAAAAACAGGTAAAAAAAACCACGTGGGTTTCAATAGAGGAAAAAATATTCAAATTAATGATACGACATACATAATTTTTTGGCCATGAATTTCCTTCAAAATTAGTGTAACCATAAAGTGACGTGATAAATATTTATTATGCAAATAACACGGCATGCCACAATTACGGTTCACACAAAAAGAGGTAGACGATCGGAGCAGGGTTTTGATTTTTGCTACATATCTACTATGCAGTATAAACTTTCTGTCACTCGCTGTCTTAAGTTTTGGCGAGCAACCGTTCAAAACTCTTCAAAAGTCTAAGGACTCTAAAGGGGTGTGGTTCGGCGCCAAACAAAACATACATATTCTTGATATCCGTTGAACAAGATATACATACATATTCTTATTCCTCTTATTGATACCTTTCTAACGGTATAAACAAAAATTCCGAAATTTTCACACACAACCAAGTCACTTAATATTTGTCCCAAATGTCTACCTTTTTTGCCTCAACCATAGAAACGGGATGGAACTCATCACTTTTTATAGGCGTATGTACATTGGTTAGAAATTTGAGCAGGAGGATATCTACATATATAAATATATTTTGTTAGCTAAGAGGCAATACATATTCTTGACCTATTAATTCAGAGTTTCAGGGATATATGTAGGAGTTTTCATGGTTATAAATGAAGATATTTCTTTGAACTCGTTAAATTCAAGATGTGTATCTAGCATTTTTTTTAAATATTGCTGATTACTAAAGTCCGTTCACCTAACCAGGAAAGGGTAATTTTTGTGCACATATTTTTGTACATATATTTATGGGAAAATGTTTAATTTATTCTTCGGATTTATTTACCCAGCATGCAAGTAAAAATCGACTAATTCGAACCCCAACTTAATGGGCGTGTTCACGTCGGCGACTTATTTAGTAGGGTTACCGCGGGTAGCGGGTACGGGTACCCGTACCCGCTTACCCGCTCGATTTTGCGGGTACCCGCTAAGCAGCGGGTAGTGACCACTACCCGCTGAAAACCAACTAACACTGGACGCTACCTAAATTTCAACTCATACCACCATAGGTCACAAAAGATTTCCGTCATCGACTCTCTTCTTTTTCGTGCATTCGTGGTATGTGATGACGATTCACTTCAAGCAGAAATTGAGACATTGAGAACTACACTTATCAAAAACGGTTACCCAAAGAAACTATTCTCGCAAAGATTAGAACGAATGCGAAAAAAGGATTTCAACAGCAAACAAACTAATGATGAAGAACAGAAACCTCGTGTTATTTTACCTTATATGGGACCTCTCACAACCAGATGGACTCAATTTTTAAGACGAAAATTGAACTGTACTTTATCGCTGCTAAGTCGCTGTAAAAATCTCTGCGATATCCTCGAGAGGTATCCTAGATGAGCCGGGGATTCTTACAGCGACTCGCAGAGATTTCGCCACGAGGTTCAGCGAGTGGTAGGTTTCGTTTCGAAATCTCGGAAATTTCGCATGGAGCCGGTGGTCAAATAGCTCTGTGTTCGCCTAAAACTCGCTTCGATTGGGACCATCGATTTTGCAACGAATTGCGCACTGAGATATTACTTAAGCTTGAGAACGCGAGAATTACATTAAACTTTGATATTAAGTATTTGAGGTAAAAGAAAATTACAGCCGTGTGAGCATTGATTAGGGGAAATAGTATTACACAGTAGTTTTATGCATCAAGTTAATATAACGATATTATTATTAATTTGCAATTTCCTGAGAACCACAAGAATCTATTTAGACCTGAGAGTTTTCATGCAAAACAATGTTATTCAAGGAAATATTGAGAAACATTACAAATCTAATTTCTGGATCTTAAAATTCTGAATTAATTGTCTAACATGACTATATGCGCACAAGATAAGATCGTGCTCAAAAATCTGCAAAAATTTTTGACATAGTTCGGTCATTTGACATTCCTAGACAAAGAAAATAAAATCAGCGTAAAGATTAGGGTCGAATTAAATTTGCCTCAAATTAAAAATTTGTTTACTTTAATGAACAGCCACATAATATGGCTGTCCAAAGCTACAAATGACAAAACCAAATAGTTGATAAAAAAAACCCACTTTAATTGGAAAATTTGTAAGTTTTGTGTTAAATTACACAGCGGGTAGCGGGTACCCGCGCGTGTACCCGTGCGGGCACGGGTAGTTGATGAGCGGATAGCGGGTACCCGTGCGGGTAGCGATTTTGCTACCCTATTATTTAGCATCACAATTAACTTAGCAAATTGCTCGAGCTCGAAAAATCTTTGTCCACGATTCTTCAGCCAAATACATGTCTGCGAAATTTTGCTAATTTCGTACAACCTGACACGTAATATTGACGATATAATATTGCTATACTCAATTTGCGAGATATTCGAGATAAGGATTTTAACGTTGGCGTGAATACCCCCAAGTAGCCAAGAATTATAAGAAAGTTCAAATAGTAATAATTAAGTCTTTTTGAATGTTTTCCTTATTTTATTATTTCCATGAATTTTGCCCACACTAAACATTATTTCAAAGAAATTGGCGACTTGCCAATTTGCGGATCTTTCCTCCCCATGGACTCCTACCCATGATCTTCTACCCATTATTTCCTACCCGTGATGATCCCCTACCCATGAACTCCTATCCATTATCTCCTACCCGTGATTATTTCCTACCCATGATTATCTCCCACCCGTGATATTTTTAGCCACAAAAAAACGTTTTATCAAATTGTAACTGATACTCTACATAATCTCTATAATATTCTCCACTTGGTAAATATTTAATATACTTCACTATGACTAGTCCTTGTGTCACCAGCCAAAGATACTCGCTGGAACCTTTGGTTATTAAACTAACTTTATCTTTAATTAATCTTGTTTCTGATTTAATACACACAAATGAAAACGTATGACAAATTTCCTATAATTTCCACTTCCAATAAAATTTGTATAGCGTGATTGTATCAAATGCAACTTCTAGATTGCATAATTTTGAAATCCAAACCTTTCAAAATTATGAATTTTTTAAATTTTAAGAAAATTTTTGCAATTTTGAAAAAAAATTCTGCAAATTTTAAAAATTTTGAAATGCTAAAAAATTTTGAAATTCTGAAAACATTCTTCTGTATTCTGTATTTAAAAAAAAATTGTACAATTTTCCAAATTTCAGGACTGTTTGCAAAATTCAATTTTTTTCGAAATTTCAGATATTTTTATAAAATTTCAGGTCGTGAGTAAATGGGTTTAGATTTCAGAAGCGAGATGGCGAGGCGTCTGGCGTTTATGCGGTGGCGTTTCATTTAACTTAGGAGTAGGAAGTCAGAGGTTGTCAACGCCAGATTTTGATGCCTTTTGGATATGTTGGAGGTCTATATGAGTGTACGAAAAGTGAAGAAGGGTTTTACTCCATGGCCCCATTTGCGCCCGCCACACCCCCTCAAAGGTGCGCCAAATGCTAAACTAGCCCCACTAAAACCTTCGCCAAAAATCCAATTTTGCTCGGATTTTCAAAAAAATTACATTTTTGATCCCAGATAGTTGCTTTATAATGTTCAATAACAATCTCTACTTTTTTGAAATTTTCACTATTTTCGAAAATTTGCTGAGCAAGGGTTTGACTTGAAAAAATGCGAAATTACAAAAAAGTTGAGCTTGCTATTGGATATGATTAAGCAACTATCTGGGACCACAAAAATGTAAATTTTTCCAAAATCTGAACAAAACTCGATTTTTGGCGATTTTTTAAGTGCGGAAATTCTCGCTGTTTTTGCGCCTTTGAGGGGGTGTGGCGGGCGCAAATGGGGCCATGGAGTAAAACCCTTCTTCACTTTTCGCACACTCATATAGACCTCCAACATATCCAGAAGGCATCAAAATCTGGTGTTGACAACCTGCGACCTTCTACTCCTTAGGAGAACACGTACGATCTTTCCAAATCTTGACTCCCTTTGGATATGTTGTTGGTCTGTATGAGTGTAGATAAAGTGAAGCAGGGTTAGGCTCCCATGGGGCTTTTGACGCCCCCCACAGCTACATGAAAGTTCGCCCAATGCTAAACCAATGTTAAATTTGCCTCACTAAAACATTCGTCAAACTTTCAAGGTCAAATCCTTGATTAGGATTTTCATAATTTTTACATTCTATTACTCCCTGATAGTTGCTACATCATATCCAATACCAATATTCAACATGGGTGTAATATCAATCACTTATATAATACTAAGGTTTCTTAACTAGTGCTGAATTTTTAACCTAATCCTGATTGATTAGTACCTATATATACCATCTGATTGTCGATTTTTCATCTCCCAACGATTTTGATGTATGATAGCTTAAAATTTGCGTAATTTTGTGTACATTAAGAATCCGTAATAAAATTGGGGGCCCGAAGACAATTTTCGAGATAAAAGCCCATATGTGTGAATGTTTTGCGAATTTTGAGAAATTTGATTTTTCACTCAAATACGGCAAAATATCGGTGGAAATAATTTATAAAATTATTTTGGACCAGAATTTGGCCACTGCCTCGAATTTGGGACCCCATTTTCCAATTTTCAGGATTTTGCAAAATAATTGCAATTTCGGCTTTAATTAGTACACGATCAAAATATGGAATTTATTAATGGCTATTAACGAAGTTTTGAATCAGAAAGATGTGTTACGTAAAAGCATAGTTTGATAATTCGGCGTGTTGGCTAATGAGTTAGTTGAGTTATTCCGATAAGATGGATTCGTTGTAGGTACTATTGCTAATACGGATTTTTGTAAAGTATGCAAAATTTTGTTAATAATGGGTTGTGTTTAATACAATCCATTATATTTTTTTAATTTTGTGTGGAAAGAGTTGCAATTAAGTAAGAATAGTGCCATTAGGCACATAAAATGTACATTTTTAGATGATGATTTATTTTAGTATAGCTTGGTATCAATTGAATAAATTTAATTGTCCATCCCCATAAGCATTTTTTCATAAGTTAAACCTCATTGTTTTCATACAGCGATCAGTCCTACAAATAACTAGTAAGGAAATCAGCCATTATAGTAAACATATCTTGCACATGCGCATCCGGCCAATCAGTATGACCTATTGGATATCTGGCGAATGCATTTGGTACTCCTACAGAATCCAACTTTTCTTGCAGACTTGCCATCTGCCCAAATGGAACAAGAACGTCCAAACTGCCATAAAACCCGACGGTTGGAGGAGACCTCTCATCCACAAAGGTGATAGGACTTGTCTCATTCCAAAGTGCTGGATTTTCTTGGCAGGTGTCGGGTCCTAGCAATTGGACAATGAATGGGTACGCGATAAATTTTTGCAGTAGAAATCAACCATTAAGTCGACTGGCCCAACATGCGATATGACAGCTTTGACGTCACGACTGGCCTCGTCCCATCGGTAACTGTATAGCAATGCTAACAAGGCGCCCGCTGAATTTCCGAACACAGCGATAGAAAGATCGGAAGTAAAGCTGGACTTCAAAAATGCAATTACCGCCTTAATATCATCCAGCTGTTTTGGAAATCTTGGGCTTTCCGCGGATCCTGGGGTAATTTGATAACTAGTTTTAATTTTTAAGGTCGTTGACTCATATTATATTTTTACCTAGTTGATAATTCATATTAGCAATGGCATAATCGGGCAATTTTTCGCGAATAACTGCAACATGCGGATTCAAATCCTCTTTCCGTCCCATCCACCACGCTCCGCCGTGAAGCATTATAAGTATTTTGTTCAACCGAATGGAATCATCATCGGGGATATGCAAATGCAGGATTTGATCCTCATGTTCACCATATGGGACATCAAGGACGACAAGGCCTACAAAACGTTAGATTAGTTATCTTACGAATTAATTATAATAATAAGTGTCGAATTATAATAGAATTATAATTGTCGAAGCACTTCGACAATTATTTAAACTTACAATGGAGGTCTCCCAACGTATGCTCACAGATTTGGACGAAACTAGTGTCAATCGATCGCAAATTTAATTACTATCAAATTTGCAAATGCAACTATCTGCCAATGCGCAGGTTTGGCGGAGATATTTGCATAAAAATAGGCGAAAACTCGCACATTTGTAATGCAAAATTCCGAAAAGTGTAAAATTGGTCGCCTTTATGAACCATCGTCGCCTCTTTTTATGTAAATATCTCCGCCAAACCTGCGCATTGGCAGATAGTTGCATTTGCAAATTTGATACTAATTAAATTTGCGATCGATTGACACTAGTTTCGTCCAAATCTGTGAGCATACGTTGGGAGACCTCCATTGTTAGCCTCACTTTCCACAACGCCAAGTAGAATGACAATTGAACAGCCAAGAAATGCAATTAAATTCTTCATTTCTGCAAGCGATGTGTAAACCAAGCAAAATTGAGAAATCGAGTGAACATTTCACGTGACTCTCTCCTGGCTTAATTGGTTTTTGAAGTGATTGTGTGCACTGATTATCAATATCGCAATCACCTGGGATTGGCAAAAACGAGAGTGGTGAGTGTATGGTGCCATACTCCAAAGAATTCCCGATGTACTCAAGAGTACCAAATGTTCGCAGAAGGAAGATAAGATACAAATCAATTAGATATATAGAATCTCCATGCCGTTGCACTATGGGCCAGGATCCCCAAATTGTGGCCATTAAGGCACTATCTAGAATTAATATCAGACGTATGCCATCGTGTTCTCCATAACCAACTTGTTATCCATGCAAAATATAAAGGCCATCGTTGGAGTCATTCCAGAGAAAAAAATTCACAAACTTTTCATAATACATTAAGGAGATAGGGCTTGGACATCTTCTCACCTATCCGCCTTCATCCGCCCCTATCTGAGCAACTACTTGTACTATTCGGTACCTAATACTGTCGGGAGTATATTCTGCTGCGACCAGCTGCGACCATCAAGTAGTATTCTCACAGAAATATTCTCAGTCCATCAAACGGCGCCAAACTCTCATAATCAAGTAGCTTCGGTGAGTTACTTCTTCTTCACAATAAATATTCAATTTCTGCAAAAATTTCAATTACCCCAACCATCGATTTTATTTTGTGTCGTTTTACCCCAGTTTCACCCATAACAGAGCGATATGTAGCGCTTAAGAGGATGGGTGAGTAAGGTGCCAACTTAACTCATGTTTCACTTTTTTCAAATAGCTGGCATTTCAACAATATTGGATGGATTTTCTTCATTGTTGATGAAAAATGATCTGAATGAGTTGTATTTTCAGATTCGTTATGAATTTTAATTTTGCAACATTTACAAATATTTACGCTCTAACGGCAAAGGTCATAAGGCCAAAGCTCACTTAGCCCCATAAATGGGGTATTGTTGGAAAGGTCTCGGCGGGAGGATTCATAATATATATACTTTTTGGGATCTGGGACCACCCCCTGAGTATTTAGAGACCGATGAATATTTTTGAGTTTTCCAGGTATGTACAGGTTAACACAGGAGGAGATTGAGAGTTAACACAGCAGTAGATCCACGCAAACTCCATAATATTCTTCGGTCTCTAAATATTCAGGGGGTGGTCCCAGACCTCACAAAGTATATATATTATGAATCCTCCCGCCGAGACCTTTCCAATTTATGGGGGTAACCTGAGACTTGACCTAATTTCAGGCTTAATTGTATTTTTGGCAATAATTTAGGGATCCTGGCCCATAGTGCGTTGTGGAATGATGAGGAGTAATTATTCTAATTATTTGCGATGTAAATCAACTTGGCACGAGTTCCGTTGTAGAAACTACAACTTATGATTCAATAGCGTGACTTGTTACATGAAATTCCTTCCGATGCCACAAAATTTATGTTCCCCAACTCTAAATAACGTCTCGTTTTATTGGTAAATCATTTAGGGATTTGCAACCCTTTATTTCTAATTTTCTTTATCCCGGAAATAACATTTTATACACCAGATTCCAAAACTAAAACTATGACTAAAAACATAGGAATCACAGCATGTTTCAATCATTGCACTAAAAGAATATTTATAAATATGGTGCGTTTAAAGCTAATCTACTTGAGCATAAAAAAAATACAAAATCGGTAAAATAGCCACATTAAATAATTTTTGAGAAATTATTTAAAAATTCGACTTCATGACAAGCCCACGAGGGAATTAACCCCTGAGGTCAGCTTCAGGCGAAAAATACACCTCACCCGCGGAGTTTAATGGGATTGGGAAATCCTCCGGGGGAGGGCTTGTCATTCTAATCCCTGAACAAACCGGTGCCAACTGCACAATAAAATTGAAACGAAAGAGCCTCCCAAAAAATAACGTCCTATTATGATTGCATAACCTTGTGAGCATTTTGTAATTAATTTGGACCTTGATCTAAAAACCTGAATTCTTTATTTATTTATAATTGTCAATTTGCCCCAGGATCTGAAGAGAGTCCGGGATTTCCAAAACAGCTGGACGATATTAAGGCGGTAATTGCATTTTTAAAGTCCAGCTTCACTACCGACTTATCATTTGCAGTTTTTGGCGTTTCCGCGGGAGCGCATTTAGCAATGCTCTACAGTTATTGGTGGGATCGAAACAATCGTGATGTCAAGGTGGTTGTATCTCATGTTGGACCTGTGGATTTCATGGACGACGGATATTGCAGGAATATATTGTTGTACCCATTAATAGTGCCCTTGATTGGACCTCATCCGTGCGCAGAGTTCCCAGATATTTGGAATCAGACCAGTCCAATTAATTACATAGAGGAAGCATCTCCACCAACCATTGGATTTTATGGTAACCTTGACATCCTTGTCCCTTTTGGACAAATGCCTGCCCTTCAAGGACGATTGGAATCGGTGAGAGTTGCTAATGAATTTACCAGATATCAAGGAGGACATAATGGCTGGCCCGATACAAGCATTCAAGACATGTACAGAAAAATAACTGATTTTCTGCAGGTTCATATGTAAAATGGTAATCTGTCGGATTGTTGAGACGCTATAACTAATACTTAACTAATTTAATGTGGTTGAAGTAGAACAAATGACTGCTAAAAATATATCAACATTTTAATGATGCATTGTACTAAATGTGTATTCTGGGGCCTTATTTATTGAGCAAACGAGTTTGACCGAACACAAATTAATTCATCAATACATTTTCCTACTAATACTAAATTCAACTATGTTGGAATCTACGAATTAGCTAAAATACTTAAACAGGCAAAATATATGCCGCCCCCGAGTGGACTTGAACCACTAACCTTTAGATTAACAGTCTAATGCTCTAACCAATTGCGCTACGGAGGCTGCGATATGCAAATTATTTGTATTTTTCAGCTATATTTTAATTTTTGGAGAGTACAAAGCTATTATCATTTTCCTTAGATATTGCACTAATGAGCATGATTAGCATAAATGGAAATTCTACGACAAAGTTATGGGCATTTGGCTTTCTAAATGCAGTAGTGTCTCCTGAGTCACAGCCGTCTTAATGAGGCACTAATTAGCTAGCTCATTATCGACCACCGGAATATTATCTCGTCTAATTTGTTCTAATTACACCTTTCTATCCATACCAATAGCTTGAAATATAGCTGAAAAGTACAAATAGTTTGCATATCATTGCCTCCGTAGCGCAATTGGTTAGAGCATTAGACTTTTAATCTAAAGGTTAGTGGTTCAAGTCCACTCGGGGGCGGCATATATTTTGCTGATTTTGAATATTTAAATTGATTTCTATTTGATTTCTCATGATATCACTACAGTTATTTTCAATTCAACTTTTGATTAATTAGTTCTTGAAATTATCCATCATGAACGAAACCAGGAAGATGCTAACTGTACTAAATCATGACAATACATTAAATCCAGCAAAGACAAACTGGCATGAGATGAAGATGAGTAGAACCGGATTATACGTCAGCGAAGCGATACCCTATAATTGGTTAGGAATAGAGGATTTACTATTGTTGCACTTACTAGGGGTACTTTTCAAGTGATAGTCGTGTCCAGGGTACCCACTATGTTTTGTAGGTTCGACTAGATCTGAATATACACTCTGATGTGGAGTCTCTCTATTCCTCTGATTTTATCTGTTTGGTAGAAACTTGGGCGACTGAAAATCTTAGAGCAATTGGCAGGATATCCGAATTTGAAGTCTTTGAGCTACTAGCTGACAAAATTCATTTAAAAGGACGTGGAAGTGGTGGATTGGCAATTCTTATGAAGAAAAAGAAATTTTCTAAGGTCGAAATAGTGTCTACGCCAAATTATCAAATAATATCACAAAAAGTGTATGTGGGCAAATAATTACAATCGCAAATGTCTATATCCAACCTGTCACAGAAAAGGATGGCGATTTGCAATCATTCTTTAATGATCTTGAAGATTTTACTATTAAATTTCCCGACTCAAAAATGGTCTGCGTTGGTGACTTTAACGCCAGAATCCGATCCAAAGGAGCAGCGAATTTAGTTTCACCTGGCTGCATCAATCAAATTAGAATGAGTCAAGACCAAATCACTAACGCACGGGGCCGCAAATTTCTACAAATATTAGAAGAGCATGAACTTACAATTTTGAATGGAAGGTCACCTGGCGACGATAATGGTGCCGTCACATTTGTTACAAAAAATGGATCAAGTTGTATCGACCTGTGTCTTGCGAATCTCAACACGCTCTGCGAAGTAAAGAATTTCGAAATTCTCTCCTGGCCATACTCACACCATTTCCCACTGTGCTTAAAATTGGGACAAGAAATCGAGAAGAAATTTATCACAACCTCAACGCTGAAATGGAGAGAAAATTGTAAATCCTCTTACCAACTTCAGGTCGAGCAAAAAGTGAAAAACACAACTGAAGTGGAACAGATTAACAGAGCAATCTTGGATGTAGCAAAATGCATTGGTATGACCTCAAATAACCTTAAGCCAATCAGCAAGTCATGGTTTGATAAAGAGTGCTCGAATGCTCGGAAGTTAACTAATGAAAACTTTAAAAGCGCCCGCAGGTCTGGCTGGATGGAAGCCAGCAGAATTATTTATTTACACTCAAAATGTGCATACAAAAAATTATTACAGGACAAAAAAGCTGCTCACCTAAGGATGTCCCAAAATAGGATTAACAATTGCAAAAATCCTCAAGAATTCTGGAAAACAGTTCGATCTTTAAGACGGGTACCTACCGCCGCAAACCAAGTAAATTCGGAAGGATGGTTCAATTTCTATAAAAAGATACTCCCTCCTCGTTCCAGTCCAATCCCAATTGCATACGAACCTCACAAATACCTAGCAAATTACAAGAGAAATAATGAATAAATAACACCAGCAAAACAACTATGGGTCGAAAAAACTAAAAATTTTGAACATAAATTTTGGTGGCATTACATGTCATGTATAGTAAATTCATATAAATAAACAACTAATCCGACTCTTGTGATTCCAACTCATCCGGCACTCGGCGATCTGTTGCTGCGATTCGACGCCTCTGCCAATAATGTAAAACTTTTAGCAATGGGTCACAGATCAATAACAATTATTGTTTATGCACGTTTTATGAACCTTGAGAGGTAACTCTCTCGAACTATGGAATCTTTCGTAGCATTTTGTCTCATCGTTGATGCAGAGTCTCTACTGACATGAAATACATTTGCAAGCAGTACCACAGCGAATTCCTTGTAGACGACAGTAGTGGAAGTTCGAAAAGCTTGTTTATCCGTCACCCCGAACGACTTTCTCTGGAAGTCGATTTTGAACTTCTAAATCAGTCGAATTTGAAGCTGGGTTTGGACTGGACGCCCCTTCCGGGATTTTTCTGGAGGAAACGTTCCCATTTTGCGACGATAATTAATTTAAGAAAAATCTACAACGGCGCTCTAAGAAAAAATCTCCCACAAATATGGTGACCTGTTACCACGACGATAATATTTCTTTATCTCGTGTGAACGACTTACGAGTCGGGAAGAATTTCTCTAGTGAAATATCTTCCCAATGATCCGACTGATCAGCATAATTAATTTAAGAAAAATCTACAACGGCGCTCTAAGAAAAAATCTCCCACAAATATGGTGACCTGTTACCACGACGATAATATTTCTTTATCTCGTGTGAACGACTTACGAGTCGGGAAGAATTTCTCTAGTGAAATATCTTCCCAATGATCCGACTGATCAGCATAATTAATTTAAGAAAAATCTACAACGGCGCTCTAAGAAAAAATCTCCCACAAATATGGTGACCTGTTACCACGACGATAATATTTCTTTATCTCGTGTGAACGACTTACGAGTCGGGAAGAATTTCTCTAGTGAAATATCTTCCCAATGATCCGACTGATCAGCATAATTAATTTAAGAAAAATCTACAACGGCGCTCTAAGAAAAAATCTCCCACAAATATGGTGACCTGTTACCACGACGATAATATTTCTTTATCTCGTGTGAACGACTTACGAGTCGGGAAGAATTTCTCTAGTGAAATATCTTCCCAATGATCCGACTGATCAGCATAATTAATTTAAGAAAAATCTACAACGGCGCTCTAAGAAAAAATCTCCCACAAATATGGTGACCTGTTACCACGACGATAATATTTCTTTATCTCGTGTGAACGACTTACGAGTCGGGAAGAATTTCGTGAATGAAATATCTTCCCAGTGCTTTGTGTTCTTCGTGTACAAAAAATTACGTAAATTTTTAGCCATCCAACTTCAAAATCGTTGGAGCGCGAAAAAATCACAATTAGATGGTATGTATAGGTACTAATTAATAGCGAACATGCAATTATTTTTAAAAATTCTATCAAATGGAAAATTGGGGTCCGTAATCTAGGCAGTGACCAAATTCTGGTCCAAAATAATTTTGTAAATTATTTCCTGCCATATTAGACTCAATTTTGACGATTTTGTGACAAAAGTCAAATTTATCAAAATTCGAAAAAAATTCGCACATTTTGGCTCGTAGCGCAAAATCCATCAATGCGCCCCCCAATATTATTACAGATTCTTCATGTACACAAAATTACGCAAATCTTAAGCCATCCAGCGTCAAAATCGTTAGAGCGCGAAAAAATCACAATTAGATGGTATATGTAGGTACTAATTATTGCATGGTAGTTATGTATTATGCCAGTGAATGGCGACGGCCAGAACAGCAAAAAAACAGAAATGTTGACTAGGCATGACAGGATGCCATGCTTCTTGGCTGTTTGACGATAAATTGGGGCATGATGGAATTTGTAATTTCCAAGTACCTGGAGCAGCTCTGTCAAAGACAGATAAATTAGTCATTTTACAGAAACCATTTAACACAAAATCTTACCCTACCCCTTTCACGCCACCCCCTCCTCTCACTGTTACACCTCTTAATTATTTTAATTTTTAAACCTAATCTAACCCCCCTAATCAGACATGTATACATCACTTTCACCAAACCAAGACAGTCACGGTGAACTTCTCCATCAATGCTGATCTGCGTAAAACAGTGGCATATGTTCCGGCAGATGGGCATTACAAGCTATGGTATGTTGGTGGTGGGTTCCAAAATCGGAATTATTACTTTAATGTAATTAATGAATGGTCCCAAATATGAGATATGCGACATCTATATATCTTCATAATTACTTTGTTTCCCCATTTATAATAAGCAGGCGCTCAAAAGTAAAGTCGAACCGTAACTGGGTTTTGAGTTAATAATTAACCTCCATTGGACCAAATACATACAATTGTGTGATATTTTATTTTCCCTTGAGGACGAAATACACAAATATGTGTAATTTAAAATTTACTATTGACAACCAAAATAGATGGGAAGAGTATGAAAAATGGATCAACTGCATTGCCAAATGTGGAAAAATTCATGGTAAAAAGTGGATTTTATAACCTAATTTTAAAAATTTTTCTACATCAACGCCATGCACAAAAGTGTAATTTTCGAGTTGTTTGACTTCTTGTCAGTTTTGAGTTTTGCAATTCTAAAATAAATCAGTCGCTAGCAACTTTTACTTTTCAAGTGACTTTATTTGGTACCCAGAGGTTAATAATTATTATTCCATTGATAAATGTCGCAATTATTTCATAATAAAACTCAATAAATTCTTTTCTGTTGAATGCGGAGATAACATATTTATTGCTTTTACAATATATTTTATAATAATTTATTTAATAATGATGCTTATAATTTGCTAAAGGTTCGAGACTTTGCAGAGTAGGTATTATTGCCAAGTGTTCCCAAGTAAATTCAAATAGTTGCAAATTTAATCACTTCCTCTTTTAATGCTGATTAGTTAGAACAACTGGCCTATCAATGAATTCGTTTGGTAGCAACTTTTAATTTTATGATCGAAGCGAAAATCTTGATCAATTCTAAAGTCTGTATTATTTGTAAAAATTCTGGCAAACATTTCCATCTGGAAGAATTGCAGTGCGGCATCATCGTTCCTTCCTGAATCCTTGTTTACACGGTTTATCTTCAATAATGGTATGTGTGTTAGGATATTTTCTAAAAGGGGTAAAATTCAGATTTTTAGAATTCTACTCAATATAATTCTTTCTACGATTTATAGCATGAGGCGGAGGTACTATGTATGTACTTCTACCGACTTAGATACGATTTGGCTCCGGAGGGTGACATTTATACGGTCGCTAAATTCTGCCCAATGTCATATCAGTAATAAAATTGTTACCGACGTTGTTAACAATTTGTTACTCTGGGATGACAAATTGTATCTGTAATTGTTACCTGTGGGTAGAATTTCATAGTACCTTCGCCAGTAATATTATTGTTCCCCAATTACTTAGAGTGTGCAAAAATCAAAGTTAAAATTTTACTTGATCTATCAACGGGAATTGGTACTCCCAAGTATTCCGTACGCCCCGAAAATTGCATCCCATTTGTGAATGGGGTTCTAAATTTGGATTTATTTAAGACATTTTTTAACAAACTTTTGACCTCCTCGTCAACCATATTTGCCATGATTCGTAACCATAAAGAACGTTTTGAAACGTTTTTGGTTTCAAGATCCAGTAAAATTTCGTTTGTAAGGAATAATCTGCCTTTGGTAAACATTTCAAACACGATGCAACCATACGCCCACCAGTCAGAGTTAAGGGTCCAATCGTTACAATAGTTTTCTGGGGCCCAATATACCTTCGTGCCAAGTTGGTGAAGCTCCCTTCGTACTTTACCCTAATTCAAGAGGATTTATTTATGTCACAAATATTTGAGGAAATGTAACATTTACCTCTCCCAATTTAGCGGAACAACCAAAATCTCCTATTTTGATGTGAAATTGTTGATCTAGGAAGACATTTGCAGGTTTCAAGTCTCGATGAGCAACTCCGAAACTGTGTAACGCTTCAAGTCCCAGTCCTAACTCGACGGCATAAATTTTTGCATGGTCTTGACGAAGTAATTTGGTGAAATCCAATAAACTGCCTATTTCACATATAATAATATTTTAATTCATTAATTTCAACTAATTTAATATATATTAAAATCATTACCCTGCATCAAATCTGTGACAAAATGAATATATATATCTGACTCGTATGCGTACAATAGACGCACAATTGCATCAGAAATGTTGCCACATTGAAGAACTTCAGATTCCAGGATGGACCCGTTATAAATTTTAAGAATAGATTTCACCGCGACTTGTTCCCCAGTTGGGAGAAACTTTTTCTGTTTGGTAAATTTAGTAGAATTTACTTTGCAAATCGTTAAAAATATCGTAGATACAGACTGGCCTTAGCTGTTAACCAAAAATACCAGGTCACTCCTCTACACAGTACTTCTGGTGTAAGTGTAAGTAAGTAAAACCAAGGTTACACCACCTATTTCTTAGCTAAAATATTTTTAATCGTCGTACTTTACTTATTTCACGTAAGAAATAGGGGGCGTAATCTTGCTTTGTGGCAAAATATCAATAAAATGAGGGCGTTATATTTTTTAAAAAAATAACAAAGATCTAGGATGTATAATATATGATGTTACCAATATGAATGTGCACTTGCGGAGATACTTGAACACCAACAATTATGGGTGGATATTTGCATAGTTTAGTTAAGTGACTTATCGTCGCCCTAATTCTAAAAAGACCTAAGCGCAGTCGATGCTTAATTTTAAAAAGACCTAACTACACAAAAAAAAGTGACATTACGATTTATCTACAATCCAAATCAAAGCTACCCTCTTTTCAATAAAAACTGAACACCGTCGCCCAACTGTGACTGTAGCTTGAAATTCCCGCGTGGCGATTTCTCATTTTAGACTGGCCATCATTGCTTCAGGATGAGAATAGGGAAGAGGAATGCGAGATTTTTAAAATTTTCCGCATTTTTTAAGCTACAACCACAGTTCAATTTTTCCACCTCAAAAGCTACACCTAATTGTGACTAATTCTATAATCACAGTAACAATATGGTGGATTTGTACCTCTCTAGTATTACTACACTCTTAGAAAAATCAATACCAGATCAATACCAGGCGGTATTCATATGTGACTCCACCGTTTTGGTATTGATTTAATACCAAGCGGTATTATTTTGTATTTATACCGTCCTCGTATAAAATTGTGACTTGCGGTATTGATTTTTTTGCATGATGGTATTGTTCATTAATACCGTGGGGTAGGAATCTAAGACGATGCGGTATTAAATGAGTAAATGCGGTATTAACGAGTGATACCATACGTTAAGAAAAATAACGGTTTAGTACGGCTTGGTATTGATCTAAACGTTATTTATTTGATACAATTACAGCTTGTAATCTACAAGTAAGAAAATTATAAATGACATACATAAATAAATATTTACATAAAATGGAAATTAACCAGATTCAATATAGTGTAATAACTTAATTATAAAAATAGCTTACACACAATAATGTAGAAGAGTTAAGCTGACTGGATCTACAAGGACAAGTAATTAAAAAAATAAATTGTAAACAAGTCACATTTTGCGATATTTATTTTACATCAATTTTTTCGAATTAAAATTATCTTACCTCCTGATTGGATAGGAAATCTGCCACTGAAACAAGTAAAAAGCAAGTTGTCAATTAGCTGAAATTTGTATTTCTAGAATATCTACACACGTCTATTTTAGTTTAAATTGTTGTACCTACATATTTGTAAATGTGTTCACAGCCTAAAATTATCCTGAATCCTATATTCGCGACCGGAACAAGGAATTGGCTAAGTCAATGAACCACCTAAATATAAAAGAATTAAATTAATTAATATAAAGCAGGAAATAAAACAAAATTGGTGATTTAAAATTCTTATTCATTAATATAATATGTAGCAAAAGATAAAACGAAATGACAAATAAATTTAAGCTTACCTTCTAGTAACAACGTGTCAAAGTTTCTATCGGAAGTACTCAATTTTTTCCCCTCAAATAATTCCCCAGCAGAACTAATTTAGAAGAACTTATTTTTAAAAAGAGAACGATTTGCAACTGCAAGTGACTAGTTTGCAAATCTCGCGCAAAAGTCTAAAGTCTATAACGGACAGATTTGAGACTGCGTAAACGTGGTATAAAATTGGTACAGGTCAGTATTGATGTTGTACCAACTCGGTATTACAAGTTAATACTCTCCACGTACAAGCTCGTGGTATTGATTTTTCGCAAGATTTTAATACCGAATCATGCCTGCGTGATAATACCAGCACGACGGTATTAAAATTTTTCGAATATCAATACCCAGTTTCTAAGAGTGTACAATGTTAAAGTTAATTAAAAGTTTAAAGCAACATACCACAGTGAAGAAAGTTATAACCACGTAAATCAAGAGTTGTTGGACACTGCAATCCGGCACAAACCAGTATCGTCCTCTTACATATGTCACAGGTTTAGAAGAAACATAAAATCTGACGGATCAGGGTAGGAATACTTCTTCAAAATATTTGCGTCACTTTCCCCAATCAAGGTTAATGCGACCGATACACCTGGCGGTGTTTTGTACCCGGCGGGGACATTGTACCCAATAATGCCACCATATCCGGCACGTTTCGCTAATCTTAGACGTTGTAGGGGATCACAGGAAAACTTCCAATTATCCAGCAGCATCGTGGATTTCGAGTCTCGTACTTGTCTCAATTTTCCACAATCTTCATAATCATCCTCATATACTAGGAAACCCTGGGGTACATAAATCTAATTGAATTTCAAGCAAACGGAATATTTAATCAGGGTTACGATTGGTAAAACCTACAGTGCAGACTTGAGATAGCCCGAGCCTGGTTTGGAGTGTGATATCCAATTTGATATTTCATACTCAGTTGTCATTTCCAGCCACCATACCAAATTTCAGCTCAAAGATACAAGTTTTAGAAATCGGGGTGGGTGACCCACTAGGGTCCCTCAAGATGAAAATTTTTGCAATGTGACATGAAAATATTTCACTAGATACCTTTAGGGTCATCCATACCAAATTTGAGCTTTCTAAGATAACTATTAAGGTTTGGTGCATAATAAATCAAACCGAATATTCTGCACCAACCCCTCAACATCACTAATCTGACCCCCACCGGTCCAAATCTTTTTTGATCGAACCCATCTTCGAACTTAGCCTCGACCTGGCCGAGATACCCATTTTAAGATCGAGTTGGTCAAAATCGGTCCAGTTGTTCATCCGCTGGACCGTCACAGACAGACAGACGGACATGACGGTTCGATAAGCCCTGGCTCGGGCTAAAAACCAGATTTCCCAGGGTAGAGAGAAAAAGTGGGATAAATGCACTTTTTCGTTCAAAACCCACAGTCGGTGGGAAAAGGTGGGATATTGCATAGATTTGAAAAAAAGTTATCTGAAAGCTAATATTTTGAAAATCATATTCGTGTTCTCCACGAAATCCTGAGAAAATGAGTGGGTGCCACGATTTGAATTAAAGAATCTTAAAATTAGCATTGTTGAAATGTAAGAATTGAAATATGGGCAGTATTCATGAGTGTTCCGGTCAACCACGAATAAGAAGTTGTATTCCAGAAATATTGATTTTTAAGGAAATTAAGTTTTTCCATAACTAAATAAATTGCCAATTTTCAACACGTTTGGACGGTAAAAACCACTTTATCCCATTTATCCCACATGCCCTGGGAAAAATGTGTTTTTTGACGGGAAAATCTAAACCCTGTATATAATACATGTCTAGTCAAATTAATTTATTAAACTGACCATTGAGTCGATCATTGAGTCGAATTTGATTTCCTGCACTCCATCCACAGTTAGGATTGTCTCTCCAGATCTTCTTTTAATTACGGATATCTCAGTTTTCTCAAATTCTTCGGATTTATTTGTAAGTATTAGTGTCAGAACGGCTACTAGTAATATTAGACTGGAATAGTGATTTATCTTGCCCCAATTCCATGCTCTAATTATTCTAGGAAATCTTTTCAAAGTAGTGAGAATATTTAAATTCATTTTAAAAAAAACGTTCCAATTCAATGTGTCAAGCAGGAGGAAACGTTTAGTTTTACTGATGACTAAATTATTTGTGCAATTATTCGACCACATAAATATCGCCCTTATCGGCACGATAATATCTATGTAATAATTTACACAACATGACACACGATGATGCATTGCGTTGCGAATTAACGAATAGATAGCGAAACTGCGTTGCGAAATCTATTTCGCAATGATATCATACCTCAGCTGGGTTGTCAAACACAGATTTTTAAATATCTTATAGTGGCGTCCAAACGTGACATTGAGAGAGAAATGTAGACATGTAGACCCAAATATCGAATATACACTCTTAGTGAAGTGGTAATGATTTGACAATTCAGATCATTACTATAGTAATAATTAGATAATTATCATTTTTGCCGAGATTATTTTAAATTTCCTAAATATGTAGATAATGGTGGTCATCTATGTACATATTGACAATCACAATTATTGTCTGTGAACTAGTTGGATGGATGTTCCATCCTATAAAGTACAGGCAACGTTTCATATCTGTTTATTTTATTCATAAACATTCCTCTAATTTCTGATAAATACGGTATTGCTGCTGAGTTTGCACAATGGGTTGTTTTGTTAAATTAAGTAAATACATACGTGCTTAACTTATAGCCTGCGTAGGTACATACATACATACCTGAGGACATTGTAATAAAACAATGATTCATTCGGTGTATTTATCTTATTTATTCTCAAACAAATTCCGCACTGAGCGATGCTTATCAAGGTCCATGTATGCTTTAACTGAATGTGGAAACAATAATTAAAATCTGAAATAAGAAATTGGGGTAATTGTTGTATAGGAAGACGTAGATATAAACAGGTTGATAAAAAAACTTGTAACATTTTATTTTTTACTGACTCTAGAACTTGTCACCGTGCAAGTGACCTATCACATCAACTTAAAAGTATTGATTTTACATCATGGGTAATCATCCACTTAACGTTCAATATAAAGGCATTTCTAATACAACAATTTACAATATTTTATGTAGTAATTGCTTCCATCCTCTGTTACATATAAAGATTGGTTCATCGGCATTGGGGGACATGTTTTTGAAATTGTTTAACGTTGACAAGCTTTCGGTACATACAGATACCTTCATCAGGTCACAAAAATTTAATTCGGATTATAAATGACAAGTACATACATATCGTCGTTCTAATTCTAAATAGAGCTAAGTGCAGTGAATGTTTAATTTTAAATAAAGCTAAGTGCAGTAAGTTCTTAATTTTGAAAAGAGCTAACTGCACAATAAACACTATAGTTAAAACAAGTGCAATTAGCTCTTTTTAAAATTATGAACTTACTGCACTTAGCTTTATTTAAAATTAAGCATGCACTGCACTTTTAGCTCTATTTAGAGTTAGAATGACGATATAAGATTTTTGGAAAATAATAAGTAGATTTGGTAATTATAGTGAGTGATTGATAATTTAAAAAAATAATTTACAATATTCTAACTGGTAATGTTAGTAAGAGATAGGCATCCGCCCATTTTGCTACGCAATTGCTTTGACAATGACTACAGCTTTGAACTTCTAGTGTTACCAATCAGACCTAGGGACCAACCAAGCTAATGGACTCGCATCGTTAAGTGAAATTTAAAATTGGACTCCACAGTTTGATAGTAGGTTAAGAATACGTTTATTTTCAATGTTAAAAGATTTTCTTCTCAAAACCCTTCCTACACGTGGTACATTAATACATACTTTGTGCTTCCTTCGGATTCATCGAGCATTTCCTTAATTCCTGACGGAAAGGTGTGGGTAACATTCTTCTAGTAATTTATCTCTAGTAATTTATTCCTCGGTAACGAAAAAATTCGCCAATGCAAAAGAATTAATATTTTAATTCATAAGCAACGAAATGTTCATGTTGAGCGAAATAAGTATGGTCAAAGTAAGACCACAGATTAATGATTGGTTCATTTACTTAATTAATTAATATGATCATAGATGATGATTTCGTAATTGTAACTGAATTTAATTACAATTACGCCATGTTCAAATCTGAAATTACAAACTACCAATTACATTTGAATAATTTAATTCAATTACGAATTACAATTATAAATTTGTAATTATGAATTAATAATTTGGCCAGCGCATTAGATTATTATGAAATTCGAAAATGCTTGCAAAGCACGTGGAAAAATAAATAATAAAGAATTATGTGCGTGCTCCAATCTCAATATTTCAGAATGAAAGTATAAAATAAAATTTGACGGAATTTCTTAAAACTATTTTAATCTATTTTTTGGATAGCATTTCTGCAATGCTTTACCCTTAGTTTCATGTAACAAATTTTAAAAAATTGCAACCAGTTTCGGCTCCCCCAACTCCGTGGGTTCCCCTATGCTACGTTTTCCTACCGACCCCTAGTTCCGCTAGTGTTATGCATACTGTTTTTTATGCGACCTATATATGTATTTGTAATTGAATTTTCTACCTTCCACCTGATACTGTTAAAAATGCAGGACATTTTTTCATGGAGTATATTGACATTACGAAAAGGCCCGGTACCCAAACGCGTACCAGGCCCGAGAATTTTACGGTACGGCTCTGAGAATTATAGATAATCAAAGCATTTATTGATGTAATTCGTATTGTACAAATTAGTTGCAGGAATTACGCGTAATGTTGTCGATTATTCCTGTATCATTGGTGATACCTGTCAGCAACTATTCTAGGAGAGTCCATAATATTTCTATTTGAAGTGGTTTACACAGGTAGTGACGAAATTGGTACTGGATGTTGTGAATTACACGCTCCGTGCGTGCTCCTCCAACCAAATCCTTACTGCGTTGCGCGATCCTGCCCTCTTCACCAGTCCAAACCTTCACAGAGGAACTCGACGAGAATTGGGAGAGCAGTTTCCTCTACGCCATCATTCGGACCCCACACCGGTGTAGTCACTTCTCCCTTGGGTTCCTCCTCCATACCCAAAACCAACTCTCCGCCACCTGAGAGTCAAATCGGGACGGAGACACAAATTATTTACACTAACCTAAATTCATTTGCATTATCGAGTCTGTAAAACTATTTCACAAAAAGAGGGAGCGTAAAATAAAACCCATTACGAGTTGAAGATTGTTCACACATAACTACCCAAGCCAGTTGCTCTTAGGAGGACACCACGCCAACCTGATAATCACAGATCCTGACGCCCTTTGGATATGTGGTAGTACCCGGTGAGAGAATAAAAAGTGTAAAGGGGTTTGATGCCATGGCCCCATTTGCGCCCGCCACACCCACTCAAAGGTGCGAAAAACACGAAAAATACCCTGTTTTGGTGCATTAAAAAATTCACCAAAAATCCTATTTTGCTTGGATTTTCAAAAAAATCGCATATTCGTGATCCCAGATAGTTGCTTTATCACATCCAATATCAAACTCAACTTTTTTGAAATTTTGATTTTGTCGAAGACATACCGTTGCTCAGGGAATTTTCGAAAACAGTGAAAATTTTTGAAAAGTTGTTTTTGCTATTGAGTATGATGAAGCAACTATCCGGGATCAAGAATATATATGTTTTTTGAAAATGCGAGCAAAATTGGATTTTTGGCGTAGGTTTTAGTGTGGCTAGTTTAGCATGGGGCGCACCTTCAAAGGGGTGTGGCGGGCGCAAATGGGGCCATGGCATCAAACCCTTTGACACTTTTTGTTCTCTCACCGGGTACTACCACATATGCAAAGGGCATCAGGATCTGTGATTATCAGGTTGGCGTGGTTTCCTCCTTAGTTATTTCACACTCACATCCTACATATGGTACGAGTGCATTATCCAACGACGAGCAGACCCCCGTGGCCGAGTGTTTATCCAGTTCCGTGGCGGAATTCTATCACCACCTGGCGACGCCCTCTTCCCCATTTCCAGAGACGACGCGGAACAAGACCAACATTCCCCCCACAGTTGGAACAACTCCTGAGAAATGATAGAGCGGATGGCAACTAATAGAATTTAGAGGGATCCGGCAGGGTTTATGCAGCTTTCCAAACCGGAAAAATTATATATATATTTAACCAATATTTACATAAATTTAATTTCCAATATTCTATGGTAGCGCATGAGAAGCTTTCGGCTGTGTCTTCGCATAATGAAATGAAGCCTGCATATTATATAAGCTCAAAATAATGCTGATGATTAATTCCCTAGCTAAATATAATTTATTGTATAAATATTGGGCATAGAAATTTCAAATACAATCTAGCTAGAAACTCAATTTATTTGTTGGTATTCAAATTATTTTTTCATCTAAATCGATCATTAATTCTCTATTCCTCAAAAATTTAGGTAGGCATTAATCCCTATTGTTGCTTATGCTTTTGCATTTGTAGGTTTCATTCTATTGAGCAATGACTTACATATATGTACAGAAGTCATGGTAAAGTAGAACTTTGACTGTGCAGAGTGTACAGTTTGACCTATGGTTAATTTTTTTTCTACATTCAAAATCCAAGTTTATGCATAATTTTTATATCAACATGTGCATCAGAGCCTCCTCTACACAGTGGTATAATTTTTGAAACCTGTTAATTTGGTTTCTGAGCATTATTCGTACTCAAAATTTCTGGAAAAATAACTTTCGATCGGAGGAATACATCTTGCTGAGGCTATCCCTAATAGTTGGATATACCGGACCATGGTATATGCATTGAGATAAGTTCAATCCAATACTTGTAT